TATAATATTTGTTTATTAGGGACGTCCGGAAGTTTGTCTACCGCAATCCGTTCTGTTATTCCCCCGTGAACTGGTCCCTTCGAGACCCTTAAATTAGGTTTTTCCCTATTGATCAAATTTACCCACTGCAGTCTTTTCGATCATTTATCCAAAATTGGTTTTTTTTTTCATGTTTACCCAAAATTAGCTTCTCGTACGAAACTTCGAGGTTGAGTCAAACAAAAAACTCTAATTTGGTAATTTTATATTTTTGTGTATAACAAACTGTCAAGCCAAGTAATAGCACACCGAAGAATGCATTAGCTCGCATTGAATGCATTGACAAATTCTCTTAGTAGATTTTCTCTTTGCATCCCCATGGCCGTGCATAGACACTTCTAGCTATTTTCAACGGCAAGAAACGGATTTGTAAGAAAGTTATTAACGGAAGAGAAAGTAGACGAGGAGAAGCGATCAATGTTACTTAGGACCTAATGCATTGTTTAGTATGATAGTTTTTCGAAGGGCCTACACCGTTAATTAATATGACTCATATTTGAACCCCGATGACAATTCGCAAAATCATAAGTCAATCATAGAATGAGTAAATTTTTACTCAAATATGATTAAATGTCACTCATATATGAGTCAATGTCACTCAAATATGAGTGAGATTTAATCATGTTTGATAAAAAAGTTACCCATTCTACGAGTGATCTACGCTTTTGCAAATTTGAGTGAACGCTACTCAAATATGAGTAAGTCTCATTTGCCGTGAAGTTTGTTTTGATACACGGTAACTGAAAAATACCCAATAATGACTACAAAGTAAGCATTTTCGAGGGAAACTGGGACTACTCATAAAATGAGTAAAATTTTACTATGTTTTAACTATGTTTTGAGTGACAAGTTGACAGGTGAACAACATCGACATGAATCTGATTGACTTTGTTCATTTGTCAACTTGTCACTTCCAGCATAGTTTACGCATTTTTGGGTAGGTTCATTTTTGACCGATCTGGGTGGATTGTACGGTACAAATTGAAATTGTACCCAAATTTGGGCAGTTTTTAAATAACGTGTACGGGATGTTTCAGTGGACTGAAAGCATAAGAAACTATTCGCTATGTTTCATGATTACTTTTCCAGCCTTTGTGAACAATGCATTTGATCGTCGATTTGGGGTAACTGGTAGGTCACCCTTGCATTCTAACACTACCATCAAATAGGGGATTTTTTTTCCTTACCTGCTGTAGTGGTGTCAGTAAGCGTGTGCAATAGACTGATTCAAAATTTGAAATTTTCGCTCCACAGTGCTTAAACGGTTCCAAATTGGGTCCTGCTTAGCCTCCCAAAATTTGAACTACTTTAGTAAGAAACTGACTTGACACAAACCATGTCAAGTTTATATGGGAATAACTATGGGAAAACTTATGTTTTTGTTCGTATCTATCTAACAATTCATCACATCACTATGCTTTTAAAAATGATAACAGTGATTGTAGCAAATTTTCTCAGCTACAACTTTGTCCAAAACCACTTTTCAATCAAATGTAAGGAACAAAAGTTATTAATGATTCAGGTCACTGATGTCTTATGATTGTGCTCATTCAACTGTTCAGCAGGCAACATTGGTGTTTCTGATGCGAAGAATAGAGCACAAATATCATGGCTACTATGTCACATTGCAGAATACAGTGTTGCCCACAGAACAGCTGCTTGATCATGCCATAAGATTATCAATCTCTTAAACAATTAATAACAATTTAATTTGACATTTGGCTGAAAAATAATATTCCGCAAAGTTGTAGCTTAGAAATTTTTCAAAAAAGCGATATGGAAAATGGGTAGCAGACAATGAACAAAAAGTTTGGTTTTCCCATAGTAATTTCCATATAAACTTCGGATAGCTTGTGCCAAGTCAGTTTATATTTTGGGAGCCTAATCAGGACCTGATTTCATACCGTTTGAGCACTGTGGACCGAAAATTTCAAATTTTGCATCAGTCTAGTGTGCAAGCTACCAGTTACGCATTGTTTACAAAAGCTGATACGTCCATTTGAAAAAGTTATCGAGATTTGCTTATGCTGCTTAGAGCCGTCGTCAACGCGAATGATTTCACCAATACCAAAACAAAGTTATCAAAAAAAGTTCGTATGCCATAGTTAGGAACAAGCATCAAAATTACGTCCCTACACACGTAGAAATTATCGCCGACTTCGGTAACTTTTACCGAAATCTGACTAGCTGAACTTTTCGGTAAAATTTATGCAATTCAATTCAATTGCTTTTCAGCTACTTTGAAACTAAATCTCCACTAAAATGACAAGATTTGATCACTTGAACAAGGTTGAACATGTTTTGAAATTATTTTCAAATTCAATAGCCTTGAAAATGAAGGTCAAAGTTATGACATCAGCTGTTCTGATTTCGGTAAAATTTACCGAACACAGAAACAAAATCTTAGTGTGTAATGTTCGGTCCATAGTTATAAAGCGCTAAAAGCGTTAAATCTTTTAAATTTGCAGTGAGAGTGAAAAGTGTGATATTGATTTATTAGGCTAGCAATGTTACAAAAAGGTTAGTCCTTTCAATTCATGAAATTATGTAGCACTGTAGATTTTCGTTAGTGCAATAATACGGCAAGATCATGGCGCCTAGAAATCGAAAATTAAGTAATTTCAGTAAATTAATTTGAAAAAGAGCAATAAATGTTCAAAATTGGTCCCAAAAATAAAGCAATTAATTTACGGAATACAATTTTACAGCAGATGTGGTATTAGTTTTTCATTACATTTGTGTATTATTGATGAATTCATGAGTTATTTGCTTGATAGGTCGAAGTGCGGGGCTAGGCTGACATTACATCCAGTAACCCTCTCAAAATATGTTTTTCCTTGATTTGTTTTCCGTCGATCTTGTTTTCCGTGCGTACTGAGTACTAATGCTACCGTCGCCAGGGAGGCAGTTTCCTCACCTGGACCCTACTTATCGTCCCATCAACTAATGGACCGGGGACCAACTGCTTTTGCCTCAGAAAATCCCGGCGGCGCCGACTGGGATTGAACCCAGGTCCTTTGGGGTGAGAGGCAATCACGCTTACCACTACATCTCAGGCGTCGCTAAAATTTCAAAATAATGTTGCAAGGCAAATTTCGAGCGGTAAAATTGACAGTAGGTAGTCACCTTTATCACCAAGTACTTGGTACTGCTCAACCAGTTCCACCTGCAGAGCAGATGCTCGACAGCTCTGGGTCCATTTTGGACCCTAGTCTATCGACCCATCAACTTATGGACAAACGGCTTTTGCCTCAGAAAATCCCGTCAGCGCTGACTGGGATTAAACCCAGGTCCTTTGGGGTGAGAGGCAATCACGCTTACCACTACACCTCAGGCGCCGCTACAATTTCAAAATATTGTTGCAAGGCAAAGTGGTTAAATATGTCATTTTAAACTGCACGAATGATGTGTTTCATTCCAAGGGTATCTCGAGAATAATGTCTAGACTATTCTAATGAGAATTCTAAGTGAACTGCCCAAAGTATTTAAAGAAGAACTTCAAAATAATTCTGAGAAAACATTCTATGCAATTCTGAGGTGAACTGCATGAGAATTCTAAGGAGAATTTATGCAAATTTCAATTAGAAATTTTAAATGGAGCTTCAGTGAACTCCTGGAATAAACATTACAAAATTGGAGAGAATTTAAGGATGAATTACATGGTATTTTTTTAGTGTTCTGTAGAGAATTTTTGGACTGTTATATAGAAATTAAGGAACTTCCAGAGATAATTTTAAATTTGTTATAGAAGAGTTCTGAAACCTGTGAAGGGGAATGGTTCATAAGGAAATTCTTAAGAATATTCCAAAAAAATCTCTCAAAGAGTTCGGAGCGAATTTTCAAGACAAATTTTGAATACCAAACGCAGAAACAAATGTTATATGCAGGGAAAATATAGCTGGCTTCGTAATACCCCTTTTAACCCATTGATCACTTCAGCTAAATTGCATACATTATTTAAATGTGTATCGCACAACCGGGAAAATTTCCGAAATTCCGTTAAAAAGCGGGCATTAAAGTGGTCTTCAAGTGTTCAGTCTAGAGAACAATATTACCTAAGACATACTAATATTAGCTCAAGTCCGGAAACGTTACAAATAGAGCATTAAAATTAATAAAAATTCTTAAATATTCAAATATCCACTTTTGCCTTTTTGACTCTACGAACACCACCCAGTCGAGCTACAAAAACGTTCGTAGTTCACCGTAGCGATTTTCCACGAGGCAACAATTATTCGCGAGCATCAACGTACATCAACAGCTCCATGCTAGTAGAGAATAGAAAAAAAAAAAGTTGCCGATCCTGCCATGGACTTTGGATGATTGTCATACTCTGTAAGTGCACCTTTCTTCATACCTATCACCACCACCACCACCAGAACCATCAGCATGTAGAACTAAACCAGAAGCTAGCCCCCTGCCTTGGTGCATCTCTGCGGAAGCCTCCCACTCGGTACCTATGTAGTTGTTCGTGATAGTCGACACGGTACTCTCACTCGCTTTCCCTACACTGCTGCCAGGGAACCTACTGGGACTGCTGTGCGCTCAACGCTAGGTGCTGCTAGACAAAAGGAAGTTAATTTTATGCTAAATGAATCTAATAAAAGATAATAATTATCTAAGTAGAACCGTTTTTATTAGAGCCCGGCTTTATGAATAAATGCTTGCTTCATTAACTACTTTGTGGCACGTCGTCGTCGTTGGACGCGTTGGTCGGTCGGACGGTCAGTAAGTTGGTGGAAGTAAACCGGCAGAGAATAGCACACGATGATGACGACGACGCCCCAGCCAGGATGAGTTCAAGTGGAAAGCAAGCGCGGCTCTCTTCATTTAGCGGATGCTACGTTTCTTCTTCTTGGGTAATCTGGCTGCGTAAGCTCGGTGCATCTTCATCAAGCAAAGCGTAATTAAAGGTGAAGATGAGCAATGTAAAACAAAAGCGTTTAGCAGACGGTTGATGATTATTTCCAAAATGGACCCATAGCTGTAGAGCATCTGCTCTGCAGGTGGAACTGGATGAGCAGTACCAAGTACTTGGTGATAAAGGTGACTACCTGGGAAGTGAAAACTCATTCAATGGAACTAATGTAAAACTGTTTATCAACTACTGTACCAACCCTCAGAACTATCTGCTGGTCAATTTCAATCATATTCCAACACTCCACTTGCATTTTTTCATGTTTCATTTGGAACATTAAAAGCAAAACCTGAACAATGTTGTACGAATTTTTAGCATACATTTAAATCAGCTCTCATAACACATACCATTTGACGTAGCCGATCATCTTTGAATTTTCGAAACGATAGTTTTTGTGACATTTTGAAGAGTTTTCTTTGCTTGAATTGAAATTAACTGATGTGAAATAATGTAGTGAATTGCTCAACATGAATCCTACCATTTCAATGACTCCCGAACAACGTATTATCATTTGAAAAATAATCAACCACATTATCGCTATCAATGCTGCCCCTCTGAAGTCATTCCTTAGCGGCGCTGACGCATCATACACGTAAAAGTATATGAATCCAAATTCCATAAACATCTGAGTCCGGAAATAAGATCCAAATTATCCAAACCACTGTTTGAACTCAGTATTACAGATCAACCTACCAGCAGCAGAAGAGCATTTACAATCAGCAGGAACGTTATGAGCATCTGTGCTGAGTATAAATCCACGACCGATCGAAAGTGCTGATAGATCTTATGGTGAGCCACCGCTATCCGGTGAAAATCCTCACAATAATCCAGCTCGTCATAGCTGGTAATCACATGACGCAGCCGGATCTGAACCGCTTCCAAGTGCTGGCATAGCATGCCTACAGCTCGTTCGACGTTTTCCATCCAGATCAAAAATTGATCATTATAAACGAATGCACTCATGAACAGGCAAAAATTAACTGCCGCATGCGGTTCATCCAACTGGCTGCCGACTACGGCGCAACATGTGCCTATGAAAGCCACCTTCAACGGGATCACTTTCGTATATAACCAAGAGGAGCTAGTTTTCACTTCCGGAAACAGCTGCCTCAAGCGATCCTCCAGAACTAGGTTGTCGTTCAGTACCGTAAGGTACCGTTTGGTATCGGTCAGCTGAGTGATTATGAGCAGGACTTCGTGGGCCAGCACAAGCTTATCGATGAAAAAGTACAGTATCAAAGGAAGCAGCGATCCGGAAATGGAGGAAACATGTCTCACAAAGCTGGTGGCAGAGTACGCTTTGGCTGTGATGAACAGGAACTTTGCTGTAACTATACAAATCAGCACCGGCATGCTTCTGCGGAAATGGTTCCGTGCCGGATCGAACTGGTACGGGTACAGCCCTAGGAAGATGGAACAGTAGTGGTGAAGGTAGAAACTCCAACGCGAATGGTCCTTTCTGAGCGACATCGTGATGGGAACTGTTGCAACCTTGGATGGAATGACTGCCGTGGTGTAATTGATGTGATGATTGTGATCAATTGCATCATCAAGCAATTGCAATTGTGTTGCAAAATTTAAGTAGCTATCAGTTTGATTAATTGAATTCAGGTACAGAGCAGTGCACTTTAGTAGGGTGGTGTAAAAATGACCGCTAAAATTTATTGCATTACTTAGGGTTGGTATACAGGGGCGTAGCGTCACTTGCTGACATCTGGGGTGGATGATTTGAGTGTCACCTCCTAACTGTCAACCATTTGTAGGATGATATATAAACACTCATGTCCATTTATCAATATTTTTAAAGAAGCGAAAGTTACCCCTCCTAATTTAGTAAATTGTTTGACCGAAAATTTAATTAAATAAAATTACAAACGAACATAAACGATTAACCTTCACTTCACCACTTCACTAGATATTTAAGTCACACCTTGATTGAATCTAAAACTCAGATCACAGATTTGAAGGAGAATTTTTCGATTCTAAGTTTGATCATTATAGCTGCTATGACGTTTTAGTGAACGAGGAGAGTCCTAAACCTTAATACAATTAAAAACGACGTTTTTTGGAGGAATTTAAAAAAAAAATAACTATGTGAAAATATGAATGCAATTTAGACACCGCGAATTTGTCAAGATTTCGTGTACAAAAAGAGATGAGTAATCAATGCTTGGAATTTTGTTAGCTCTCCTTTTAATAAAAATATGCACGATTCTAAGCTTATTCGAAGTTACATTTATTTGTACAATATAACATTTAAGATAAGACATAATCAACAATAGTACGCCACAATACTCGGTTTGTGGCTGCCGCTCTCCATCATCGGTCATGCCCAATGCTCGCTAGATCGCGCTCTACCTGGTCCGCCCATCGTGCTCTCTGCGCTCCACGCCTTCTTGTGCCAACCGGATCAGTAGCGAACACCAACTTTGCAGGGTTGTTGTCCGGCATTCTTGCAACATGCCCTGCCCACCGCATCCTTCCGGCTTTGACCACCTTCTGGATGCTGGGTTCGCCGTAGAGTGCAGCGAGCTCGTGGTTCATTCTTCGCCGCCACTCACCGTTCTCCTGCACACCGCCGAAGATCGTCCTTAGCACAAATCGCTCGAAAACTCCGAGTGCTTGCAGGTCCTCCTCGAGCATAGTCCATGTCTCGTGTCCATAGAGGACCACCGGTCTTATTAGCGTTCTGTACATGGTATATTTGGTGCGGGGGTGAATCTTTTTTGACCGTAGTTTCTTCTGGAGCCCGTAGTAGGCACACCTTCGTATTTCACGACTCACATTGTTGTCAGCCGTCATTAAGGATCCAAGGTAAACGAATTCCTCCACTACCTCGAAAGTATCCCGGTCTATCATGACATTACTTCCTAGACGAATCCTGTCATGTGCGGTTCCGCCTACTAGCATGTACTTTGTTTTTGACGCACTCACCACCAGTCCGACCTTTGCTGCTTCGTGTTTCAGGCGGGTGTAAAGTTCTGCCACCGTTCCAAATGTTCTTGCGATAATGTCCATGTCGTCCGCAAATCACACAAATTGACCGGATTTCGTGAAAATCGTACCCCGGCTGTTGAGCCCGGCTCGCCGCATTACACCTTCTAGAGCAATGTTGAAGAGTAGGCATGAGAGTCCGTCACCTTGTCGCAGTCCCCGGCGAGATTCGAATGAACTGGATAGTTCAACCGAAACCCTTACGCAGTTTTGCACACCGTCCATCGTTGCTTTGATCAGTCTGATCAGCTTCCCAGGAAAGCCGTTCTCGTCCATGATTTTCCATAGCTCTGTGCGGTCGATACTGTCGTATGCCGCCTTAAAGTCGATGAACAAATGATGCGTTGGGACCTGGTATTCACGGCATTTCTGGAGGATTTGCCGTACGGTGAAAATCTGGTCCGTTGTCGATCGGTCGTCAATGAAGCCGGCTTGATAACTTTCCACGAACTCGGTCATTTTAGGTGATAGACGACGGAAGATGATCTGGGATAGCACTTTGTAGGCGGTATTCAAAATGGTGATCGCTCTGAAGTTCTCCCATTCCAAATGGTCGCCTTTCTTGTGAATGGGGCAGATTATCCCCTCCTTCCACTCCTCCGGTAGCTGTTCTGTTTCCCAGATGCTGACTATCATCCGGTGCAGGCAGGTGGCCAACTTTTCTGGGCCCCTCTTGATGAGTTCAACTGCGATACCATCCTTACCAGCTGCTTTGTTGTTTTTGAGCTGCTGAATGGAGTCCTTAACTTCCCTCAGCGTGGGAGTTGGGTCAGTTCTGTCCTCTGCTGCACTGACGTAGTCGTTTCCTCCATTGCACTGGTCTCCCGTGCCTACGTTCTCCTCGCCATTCAGGTGCGCTTCGAAGTGCTGCTTCCACCTTTCAATCACCTCACGTCCGTCCGTCAAGAGGCTCCCGTCCTTATCCTTGCACATTTCGGCTCGCGGCACGAAGCCGTTGCGGGATGCGTTGAGCTTCTGGTAGAACTTCCGTGTTTCTTGGGAACGGCACAGCAGTTCCATTTCCTCGCACTCCGCTTCTTCCAGGCGGCGTTTTTTCTCCCGTAAGATGCGGGTCTGCTGTTTCCGCTACTGTTTATACCGTTCCACGTTCTGTCGGGTTCCATGCTTCAGCATTACCGCCCGCGCTGCGTTCTTCTCCTCCAAAATCGCTCTGAACTCCTCGTCGAACCATTCATTCCGTCGACTTCTTTCCACGTACCCGATGGTGCTCTCGGCTGCGTCGGTGATGGCTGCTTTTACTGTACTCCAGCAGTCCTCTAGAGGGGGCACATCGAGCTTGCCCTCCTCTGGCAATGCTACCTCAAGATTCTGCGCGTATGCTAAGGCGACATCCGGTTGCTTCAGTCGCTCTAGGTTGTTCCGTGGCGGGCGTCGGTACCGTACATTGATGATGATGGAAAGTTTTGGGCGCAGTTTGACCATCACCAGGTAGTAGTTAGAGTCAATGTTAGCGCCACGATAGGTCCTGACGTCGATAATGTCGGAGAAGTGCCGTCCATCAATCAGAACGTGGTCGATTCGCGATTCCGTCTGCTGTGGTGATCTCCAGGTGTAACGATAAGGGAGGCTGTGTTGGAAAAAGGTGCTACGTATGGCCATGTTCTTGGAGGCGGCGAAATCGATGAGTCGTAGGCCGTTCCCGTTCGTCAGCTGGTGGGCGCTGAACTTTCCGATCGTCGGTCTGAATTCCTCCTCCTGGCCTACCTGAGCGTTTAGGTCTCCTATGATGATCTTGACGTCGTGGCTTGGGCAGCGATCGTACTCGCGGTCGAGCTGCGCGTAAAATGCGTCCTTGTCATCATCAGTGCTTCCGGAGTGATGGCTGTGCACGTTGATTATGCTAAAGTTGAAGAATAGGCCCTTGATCCTCAACCTGCACATTCTTTCGTCGATTGGCCACCAACCGATCACGCGCTTCTGCATTACGCCCATCACGATGAAAGCTGTGCCCAGCTCGTGTGAGTTGCCGCAACTCTGGTAGATGGTATGATTACCTCTGAACGTTCGCACCATGGATCCTGTTCAACACACCTCCTGCAGCGCTACGATGCCGAATCCGCGGTCCTTCAGTAGATTGACGAGTATTCGGGTGCTCCCGATGAAATTGAGAGATCGACAGTTCCACGTGCCAAGTTTCCAATCGCAAGTCCTATTTCGTCGCTGGGGTCGTTGCCATTGGTCTCGGTTCGTATTCCTCTGTTGCTGATTTTCCGTTGCAATGCTTTTTTACGGCTGGCTCGCAGGGCCCCCTAACTTTCCGGAGGACCAGGGTGTACAGTTGTGCTTAGAGTCCTTCACTGGCACTCGGACGTAGATCAGCCGCCCCTAACATGGGAACAGACGCTGTTGTGAGCCGCTCCTCCTGGAGAACAGACGCTCAGGCTTGCCGAAGCAAACCCCCCCCCCCCTTCCCTGTCAGCCTATGACCAAAGTTCCCACCGGGGTTGGTTACCCGATCTTCCCTAAGGTTGCTCACAGTTCCGGCCGGTACCACGGGGAGGTAGGGATAGGAGTTGCTGGGAAGAGGCTAGTGATCTCAATGGGATCTGTATTGCGTTAACCGACTCTTATTCGAAGTTCTGGATAGCAAAAATTATATCTTAAGATTTAGATGATTGAAATATTTAATATGCCGAACATAGAGCTTTCTCGAGCGTACAGTTTATCTCGGGGATGTCGCCCCTCCAAGGTAAATTTGAAAATCGGGTTGGTGATGAAGTCCGTGAGCTTCAGAATTCGATACAAAACAGATCCATTTGACATAGTTTATTTTATCTATGACTCCCACTCACTTTAAACCACATTTGGACGGTTACTATAATTTTTTTGATTTGAATTTAAAATAAAAATACGAACAGTACCTAAATTACCGGTAAGCAACCCTACTTCTGACATTATTTCCAAGAGAATTGCTATAATGGAAATATGAGCGTGTAAACAGTTCCAAAGGTACTCTAAGCAGAACAGTATTTATATACATTTGATGCGTTGCTACTCATAAACTTGTGTGTATTTATTTTTTAGCATGTAAGCACCATTTGCTTTGTTTACATGTAAAACATGATTATTCGGATTATTCCGTTGACCGATGCCATATCGTATCGCCTGATGGTTGCTATGGGTATATCCATCGCACACTCTCCAATCCATGTTTGCCATCAGCGACGAACTGCAGAAAGTAACGTCGATAATGGATTCCCGGCCATATCTGCGAAAAGTGCTGCTGGTGCCATTATTGGCCAGCATAACTTCCAGTTCTGCCAGAGCTTCCAGCAGACTGTGCCCTCTTGTATTGGAACATCTGCTTCCCCACTCCACTGCCCAAGCATTGAAGTCTCCTCCGATGACTACCGGTCGTCGTCCGATCAGCTCTTCGGTAAGTCCATCCAGCATCTCATGGAACTTCTCCAGCGTCCATCTGGGGGGTGCGTAACAACTACACATGAAGATCCCGTTGATTTTGGCGATCACGAAACCTTCGTATGAGCTC